TCTCACTATGTAGCCTAGGCTGGCCTTGAACTCACCATCCTCCTGCCTTAACCTCCCCGGTGCTGGGATTGTAGGTATATGCAACTATGCCTGGCTGAAAAATAACTGAAAGAAAATGTTATGCCTACTTTAATAGCTACATGTACAAAGTACCAAGAAGGTAAGCAGCTAGCCATGCCACAGCAGAGACATTTATCCTCAATTTTAAAGCATGAGTTAAATCCTATATAGTTCTTCAGGTTTCTAACACTACCATTTCCTGCTCTCCACCAGTTTTCCACACTAGATGCGTAGCATGGTCACAAGGGAAGCATTTTTAAATAAGTCTGATTCTGCTGCAGACCAAATGAATCAGAATCCCATCCCCATTCTTACTCTTTAAAATCTCCCCCAGGTTTCTTATTTGTTGTTGCTTTTGAGTATAAAGGTAGTTTATTAAACAAAAGAACAAAATCTCCCACAGGAAGGGAGGAGTCCAGAGTAGGACACCCCCAGGTGGTTTTAAAGTAGTGTCTGGGTTGAAAACCACTGTACCAAGCAATCCCACCTATTTCATTTTGCTTTGCTTGGTTTGTGGGGGAAGCAGTACTGGGGACTGAAAGGTATCACCCTTTTTCTAGGAGCTAACTTCAGACCATGATCTTCCTATATCCACCTCCTGAGTGCCTAGGATTAAAGTAGTGAACCACCATGCCCAGCCCCAATTCCACCTACTTCTGATGATTCCAGTTTCCATGCTGGTGCAGTCCCTCCATATACATCCCTCCCTTTAGGCCCAACCACTGTCTAGAACTATTCCCTGGACTTAAGACCGTACCCTGATTTCTAGTTTTTCTCCAAATCCTGCTCCTTTTATTTCCTAACTAAACAAAAAAGAACCCAGGCCAGAAATCAAGTCATCTTAGGGCTCGGGATATAGTTCAACTCACTGGTAAAGTGCTTGCTTAGCATGCCCAAGGTCATGGGTTGGATCTCAGCACCAAAACAAACAAACAAACATACAAAAAAACACTATCCTCAATCTACCCCCTCGGCTTCATCTTTCACTTAGGATTCTTTGATGAACTCCACACATCAGTCTGTCCTTGTCTAACCTGTTCTCCACAATGCTATCTGGAGAATAAAGGGAACCCTCTCAAAGTACATCCCTCCACAGCACCTGCCAGAGTGAGGGACGCAGACAGGGATCAAAACCATCTTCAGGGCTAGGAGTATGGATGAAGTGGTAGAGTGCCCACCTAGCAAGTGCAAGGCCCTGAGTTCTAACCCTAGTACCACCAAAAGGCTTCATTTCTAACCTTATCCTTATGGCTGAGAAAGAGAAGAAAGACATGCAAACAGGTAAATGTGCAGGCACTTTGACAGGAGCTATCAAGAGGAAGACGCACTGGAGCAGAAGCAGAAGGCTTTGCTACAATGGTTAGCCACTGGCTAAGAGCATTCCTGGAGAAATACACAGTTATCTAGGCATGATCTGGTGATGTAGGTGAGTTTCTAAGGCTGAGGAAAATGACAGGACATACAACAAGCAACAAAGCCTTAGACGGGAACAAGTCAGACTTTTCAAAATCTTTTCAGGTTACCTCTCCCAAAGGTTCCCCAAGTACATCAGGATACAACTGTGCTCTCTCATGAAGCCCTTTCTTCAGCTTTGCCAAATCACATTCTTTCCCAAAGGCACCAGGTTATTGCACACATTTGCGCAAGTCATTCTTGCTTCCTTGTCTACATTCAGCTCTTCTAAGCACCTACTATGTGTTTGGCACTCAATAAACCACACCCACAACCAATATTGCACAGCTCTTTCCCTTCCCTTTATTGCACTCAGAGTTCACCAGTTTGTCATGCCATCTTCCATACCAAAAATCCTTCTGGATACTGGGTTTCTCACCACCACCACTCAAACAAACAAACAAAAACCAAACAACAACAAAAAAACAGACCATTCTAAGCATGTAAATATGGTGGGGCTGAAGTGGAGGGGTACTAAGTACGAAGTGCCTATGGACAGAGAATTTCCTCGGCCTCCCAGGGAAGTGCTCCTACAGCAACCTGTAGTCATTTTTGTCTTCATTATAGTCTACTGAATGCATCATACTCTACTTAACTGCAGTCTGCTGTGGTTCAGACACGAGGCTCAAGATGACAAGCCCACAATACAGAGGGCCTGGTAGGTAGGTCTTGTTCATCATGCCAAGTGTTTGGGAGCTGAGGAGGCCTTTTAAAGAAAATAAGTGACATGATAGAAATGGAACCAATCATAGCAGCAATGTGGAGGGTGAACTGGTGGAGTGCAGGGCCCAGAGGTCAGGAGGCCCATTGAGCATCGGCTGACTCTTCAGGACAAACATACCCACGGCCTGAGCTGATCTTCTGTCAAAGAGGACAGAAAAGGATGTGAGGTAGCAACAACAGGATATATGAAAACAAAGCAAGGAGGCAAGAAGACAGCCGGGCATCAGCGGCTCACTCCTGTAATCCCAGCTACTTAGGAGGCAGAGATCAGGAGGGTCACGGTTCAAAGCCAGCATAGGCAAATAGTTCAAGAAATGCTATCTATTAAAAAAAAAAAAAAATTCACCAAAAAGGACTGGTGGAGTGGCTCAAGGTGTAGGCCCTGGGTTCAAACCCCAGTATTGCCAAAAAAAAAAAAAGATGCTCCTCCAATTTTCTAGGGAGGAATGTTTACATACATGCTTGAGGGGGCTCTGGGTAGTACAAAAGGGAAGGAACAGATAACCATGTTTGAGGTCCAAATATCAATATGCAGTCATCCAGTACAGAGATGAAAACTGGGACCTGAAGCTCAAGTGAAACAGGAGCTATGTACACATCTTTGAAAACCATAAATACACAGGTGCTATCTGAAGCAATGCAAGGAAATATAATCACACATGGAAATTAGTGATAGAACAGAAAAAGAAACACCAGGGAACAGCAGATTCATTTGAGAAGATGAGGTTTTTTTGTTTTGTTTGGATCATTATCCGCCTGCATGCTGATAATATGGGGAGAGGTGAGCCTTAGAAAGAAACCCTCTTCCTCTGAGATCAAAGGAAAGCAATCAGAAATCAGATAAGTACAGGCACAGACAAGAGTAACAGACACTAAGGAGCTCAGAGTTGATGCCCACCACCCACCAATTTCATCTGTGAAGAAGGAGGTAAAATAAGCAGTGAAGAGAAGGCAAGAGACAGAGAAGAACCGTAAAGATATACAAATAGTTACTTAGGTCTTAGTACACAAGAAAACCTAGGAGTAAATCAAAGGGTTGTCCAGCAGTGCCAGTGAGGTTGAAATCCACAAGTTCAAAGTGGTACCCACAGCAATTCGGTTACAGGATTGTCTCCAGCACAAACGGCTGGCAGATTTCAGGCTTGAGACCAGCAAATCAAACGTGGCAAGAATAGCACAAGACCCAGAACAATACTTTTATACTTTTAAAAAGTCAAATCAATATTGCTCTTAAAAAATTGACTCATATTATTCTCTGAGAGCCAGAAGAGTGGATACTTGCTCTTTAACTCCTAGAGAGCTTACCAGAGTTCTCACTCCTAAGCATCTGAGCACTTCAGCAGCAAATTCAGGAAATCCCAACCTGATTCCCTTCCAGGCTCATAAAGGTGAAAGTTCATTGCAGTTCCCTGAACTATGCACCCACATAACAGCTAAATCATGCAACCCTACTTACACAAAAGGGTATTTCAGCTAGGAGGCAGGGGCTCTTTCTTTCCCAAAACAAAGGTTGGTAAACACTGCAGATGGAGAGGAGGGTATAATTCTATTACACTGAATAGTCACCTAGCCAAGAATCCTTTACAAAGGCAATTAACATAAAACAATACATGATGGGGCTGGTAGAGGCTTGCCTAGCAAGTGCTAAACCTGGGGTTCATCCCCAGCACAACCAAAAAAAAAATCATAATGAAGGAGGATATAAAAGAATAATAGTGGGAGTGACTATGATCAGGGTAAACTATGTGCATGTATGGATAACCCCTTTATGCAATTAATATTCACTTTAAAAAAACAAAAATACTCCAGGGGTGATGGCTCACACTGCAATCCTAGCAAGCTGGGAGGCTGAGATTGGGAGGATTGAGGTTGGAGCCCAGGAAAACAATTCACAAGACTCCACCTCCAAAATAACCAGAGCAAAATGGACTGGAGGTGTGGCTCAAGGGGTACAGCGCCTGCTTTCTAAACCCAAAGCCCTGAGTTCAAACCCAGTCCTACCAAAAAAAAAAACCAAAAGAACACATGCTCCAAAGGCAGAATTCAGTTTCTACACAAATGCACCAAGTGACTGCTAATTTAATCTCTTTATTACACTTGGGAGTGCACCAATTCGTCCTGCCCTCTCCCATGCCACCTTCATGGAGAGGGTCCCAAACCCCTTAAGATCTGAGATTTCTCAACCAGAAAGCGCACAGGAGACCACTTGCCTGCTATGGAGAGCCCCCGGGCACAGGCCAGACCTACTGTGTGCAGGGCACTTTCTGTGTTATGGGTACAACCAATGACAGGCCAAATTTTGATTTAGAGACAGTGGACGTGGAATTGGGGACAGTGGGGGAGCGTCTGCAGGTTCAAGTGCACAGGCAGCAAGAAGAATCGGACACGGCGCTGGACACAAGTGACAACAGACCAGGTGGGCAAGGAGGGCGTCGGGGCAAAGGAGGGACCAGGGTGACAACGGGCCATACGGGCAAGGAGGAGGTCTGGGGGCGTAGAGGGACCAGGGACGCCCCGAGGGGGCGCGACAGAGACGTAACGGGGCCAGGTAGGAAAGATGAGGCACGAGTTGGGTCCCCGCGGGACGAGGTCCCGGAACAGGACGGCGGTGGACGCGGCCACCACCGGGGGCGGGCGGGAGTGACAACTGCCAGGGGGAGCGGGGGCCGCGAGCGCTGAGGGGCAGAGGGACGCGGGTCGGGTCGGCCCGGCTCGGAGCCGGGTGGGCGGTGACCGCAGGCACCGAAGCGCCGCGTCCCTCTTACCTGCGATGAGTGAGGACTCGCCGCGCCGCCACGCCGGCATCCTGGACTCGGCCAATCCTCCGCCACCCTACGTGAGGGCCATGGCGCCCGCTCCGGGAGCCCGCCCTCAACGCCAGGCGCCCGCCACTGCCCAGCCCAGCCTGGCCCGGCCCCGCGGAGATGCGCCGCCGAGATCCGCACCCGCGGCCGCCTCAGCAGCGACTCCCGCGGTCGCTCCCTCAGCGCTCGCTGCCAGCCTCACAGGCGCGCTCAGGATCTCACACGCGCTACGACTGGCTAGCGTGAGTTGGGAGATGTGTCGGCCTCTCTGATTCGTGCACTCGTCCACGAAGAAGGCGGGGCTTAGAGGTTGTACTGGGCGTGGGGGGGGGGCGGGCGGCGAGGGGCGGGGGGCCTGACGTCGCGGTCGAGCCTGCGCCCCCGCCGCGTAGCGGATGCGCGCTCCCGGAGGGGCTCCCGGCCGCCACCTGCAGGGGCGGGCTGTTGCCCAGGCAATGGTGCGCGTGGCCTAACGGGAGCCGAACCACCAGGAGGAGCAAGACCTCAGCGCCCCCCACGTGGAAGCCGTCATTCGGAAAACCCTGGGACAGGACAAGAAAATGAGCTTTTCCAAGAAATTCTGGTCATTGATTCACACTCTGCCTCTGCCTGTTGCTGGCGGGGCCGCTGTCATCTAATGGGAGATAACCCGCACATGCAAACGTCAAGTTCACACAATAAGGGGTGAATATGATCAAAGTGTGTTACATGCAGACATCACGATGAAGTCCTTTTGTACAATTAGTTAGGCTAATAAAAAAATTCACACATTTTTCCCTTCCACACCAAAGCGTAAATGAATGATTGCAGGGTGTCCCGACCACAAAGATGGGGAACTCAGTACCCGAAAGAAAGAAGTGAAAACTATGAAAGAGAGAAAGACTGAGGACAATCGAAAATTAATCATGCATTTTTATGATTCCTTCCTAAGGGCACATCCACACCAGGTCGTGTCACAGCAATTATTTCAACTCTGCAAAATGGATTGGACAAAGCATAGACTCAAGGATCTAAGGGTTATATCCAAAATTCTTGTCCTAGCATCTTGGAACCAATCTTGTCACCTATAGAATGAGGTCTAATACATGCATTAGACTTGCTATAAAGATCAAAAGAGGTCCACACAAAAACTACATAAATCGATAGGCCAAAAAAAGTAAAAATATTCATAACAGTCAAAAAAGTAAAAACAACCCAGATGTAAAATGTGCTCCAGTCATGCAATGGAATAGTATTCAACCATAAAAAGGAATGAACTGATTCATGCTACAAAATAGATGAACCTTGAAAATATTATGCTAAGTAAGAGATTCCATTTGCATGAAATTCCAGAATAGGCAGATTCTTAGAGACAGAAGACAGGTTGGTAGATGGAGGGATTGGGCTGGAGGGATTAGGGGGGCTAATGGGAATTTGGGGGTTCTTGGGGGGGGTGATGAATATGTTCTCAAATTGATGGTGATGCTACTTGCACAATGCCATGAATATACTAAAAGCCATTAAATTGGTCATTACATGGATTGTTCAATATGTGAATTAATTCTTTTCTTTCCTTTTTTTGTGGTACTGGGGTTTGAACTCAGGTGCTCTATCCCTTGAGCCACTTGTCTAGCCCTTTATGGTGTTGGGTATTGTTGAGATGGGGTGGTCTCTCAAACTATTTGCCCAGGCTAGCCTGGAACTGTGAACTGTCCATTGGCATCCAGCTGTGAATTAATTCTTAATAAAGTTGTAATTTTAAAATAACACCCCATGGCTCACACCTGTAATCCCAGCTACTCAGGAGGCTCAAGAGGATCATGGTATATGTGTATACCTATACATAGATATGTATGTTATTGTATTAAATATGTGTAAGCTATTTCATATATCATATATTTACATGTTCAATATATTTAATATATGTTTTATATATATATATATAAAACACAGGTAACTTTTTTTCTTCATTCAGTTGGCAAAAATCTTGTAAGCAATTTGACCTGAGGAAATTTTTTTTAAATACCATAATAATTTTCTTTGGAAAATGCAAATCAAATAAAGATGATCCTATTTGACCCAAGCTGCTTGAAGCAATAGACTGGACCACTGAGAATTACAAAGCTCATCCAAATAATAATAACAATAATAATAATAATAATAATAATAATAATAATAAGTCAGCAGGAGCAGGCAGAGGGAAAGGAGAAAGTGAAAAACAGAAAGCACTCTGGAAGGTGACCATAAATTGAATGACAGGCTCACACCTGTAATCCCAGCTACTTGGAAGGCTGAGATCTGGAGATGGAAGTTCATAGCCAATGCAGGCAAATAGTTCCCAAGACCTCATCTCCAAAATAACCAGAGCAACATGGACTGGAGGTGTGGCTCAGTGGTAGAACACCTGTTGGCAAGCGTGAAGCCCTGAGTTCAAATTCCAGTCTCACCAAAAAAATAAAAAATAAAAAAGCTGAAGGACAGCCTCCAGAGTCATTTAATCAATCTTTTAACAATAAATAAGAGTCAAGCCCCATTCCACCCAATACATTTCGGACCCTTCAGGAAAAGAGCTCACCATAACCTGAGTATTTCAAAGCCTCTGCCAACCTCTCTCCACAAAGAAGACATTCAGATTTCTGAAATGAAACTCATAATCTGCCCAGAAAACCCCTCCGTCCCGGAACAAGGTTCCTGGAAAAATAACTGAGTAGGAGGGTGACTGGCATTTGCCTTCAGGCATTTATTAACCCCTAAAAACAAACTCCAGATGGGGGCCCTCACTAAGAACAGGGGACATGCTCGCCTCAGTGAAATCTGTCATGTGGCAAGATGTATCACCAGGCAAGACAATTTCAGGTGACCCAGGTGTCACACTGCCTGTGGCTGGTACTGTCTAGCCTTTGGGCCAGAAGCAAGAAACAACCAGATCTGAAGCAAAGCTCAGAGTCATCTGGGAACAAGTCAAACTTTCCCTGCTCTCCAAGTTTGCTCCACCCATGTAGTATGTGTACTAATAAAAAAAAAAACTCCAAAATACACTCAAGTGAAAACAGCAAAGTTCAAAGCAGTATATATAATATACCCATTTGTATGGGTTTTATTTGCGTGGGGGGGGGTTGTTGACAGTACTAGGGTTTGAACTCAGGGCCTTACACTTTCTATGCAGGTGCTCTATCTCTCAAACCATGCCCCCAGCCTTTCTTGCTTTATTTTTCAGATAGGGTCTCATACTTTCTGCCTAGGCTGGACTCAAACTGAAATCTTCCTACCTATGCCTCCTGTGTAGCTGGGATCACAGTCATGTGCTACTGTGCCCAGCTCTCCTAATTTTTTTTTTTTTTTGCAGTGCTAGGGTTTGAACTCAGGGCCTACACCTTGAACCATTCCACCAGCCCTTTTCTGTGATAGGTTTTTCAAGATAGGGTCTCTCAAACTTTTAGCCCAGGCTGGTTTCCAGACTGCAATCCTCCTGATCTCTGCCTCCTGCGTAGCTAAGATTACAGGCTTGAGCCACTGGTGCCTGAACATTTTTTTTTTTTTAAAGAAAAGAACTCTTTCCTAGAAAATGCCCTGATCAACTCCACAGGAACACCTGGGTCCTGACATATTTCTCAGTGTAATTTAATAAGCTCTTTTGAGTATACATACTCTGATCATCCTTCTTGGGTGTCCATTTCCCCTCCCCAGACTTACCTCTCCAGGTGATCACCCAGGTTCACAAAACCTCACCTGAGCAAGACGCAGTGCTGTACACCTATAATCCCAGCACCTGGGAAGCTGAGGCAGGAGGATCACAAGTTCCAGGCCAGCCTGGGCTACAAAGCAAGACCCTGGCTCAAAAACTAAGGGCTAAGGATGTAGTTCAGTAGTGGAGCACATGCCTAATATATTCAAGGTCCTGGGTTCAATCCCCAGCACTGCCAAAAAGAAGAAAATCTCACCTAAGGGCAAAGACATCTTTTCCCCTCAAGAGGTTTAGAGTCTGTTCCTTCCAAATAGCTTAAGCAGCCCCTGTAGTCCAAAGAAAGGGAAGAATGGCACCCCAACGAAAATTGGGAAGCCTCCCCTCTAGCCAGCCTCTGCGCCCCTACCTTAGGGTTTCACTTCTAGGGAAGAGGGTAAGGGTGAGGGTGAGGATTTCTTACCACTATCCTATCACCTCTTGGAATGACAGTATATATGCTACACACTAGGGATATGCAGACTTCAAGGAAAGTTAGAAAGGCAGCATAGCTCACTCTCTCCCCAGCACTTTTGGTTTGGGGTTGTTGGCATTGCTTTTGCTTTTGAGGACAAAAATGCAGCCAACCTCCGTTTGTGACACTTTTATGCCAGGCTCTGGCATGGTGAGAGGATGACTGTAGATGTGGAAGATGCAGCCTCAGAAATAGAAAACCAAGGTCCTGGGATTTCCTCTCCCTGCCCAAGGGTGTTGGCATGGGAAGGCAGAGAGGGCCAAGAGCTTAGGAACAGAGAAACAGAGAACACAGGTGGCCTTTGCAATGTCAGCAGAGGAGCAGAGATGTTCCAAGGTTGCAGATATGGCTGTAGGGACAAAGGAGTTCTTACAGGTAAGAATGGAAGATGGCTGTCTGTCCAGCTCTTCATCCTGGCCTGACACTGGTTGAATGGGTGGATGGTGGGTGGAGAGGTAGATGGATGGATGAGTGGATGGATGGATGGATAGATGCATGGATGCTTGGATGGATGGGTGACATATGGATGGATGAATAAGTGTGTAGATGGATGGATGGATGGAAGGATGGATCATTAATGGGTAGATAAGTAGCAGAGTTTGCATTGTCAATGAAGGCCACCAGGACAAAGCAGATAAGGACACGGTAAAGCAACAGGAGGGCACTTGACACTCAGGGTGCTACCAGAGAAGGCCAGGGGACTCTGGGTGAGGGAACCAAACCCAATATCCTTGCTGGGAAATTGAGGGTTAAATTTTGATGGTACTGGAATTGGAACTCAGGGCCTTGCACTTACTAGGCAGGTGCTCTTCCACTTGAGCTATGCCCCCAGTCCTAGAGTTAAACTTTAACTCCAATTAAAGGAACCCCAAAACCCTGGCTAATTTGGGGCAAAATGAGACACTTACCCGCAAACAACAGCCAAGAGTCAAT